GGCAGGCAAGCTCGGCTCCGCCGCACACGGGTGTCGCACCGTTGCCTACCTCCCAGGCGCTCCTCCTCGGGCCTCGATTGCCACCGCCCAACCGTTTCCGTCCGTCTCTTCCCTCGTAACCTAACCGAGTGCTTTTACCCCACGCAGGCGTGGAGACCGACCCCAACCGTGCGCCCGACTGCGACCCCACCCAGTGCGTGCTCCCCGACTGCTGGTGCTCGCCCGACGGCACCCGCATCCCCGGCAGCATCGAGCCCAACCAGGTCCCGCAGATGATCACCATCACCTTCAACGGCGCCGTCAACGTGGACAACGTCGACCTGTACGACGAGATCTTCAACGGCCAGCGCCAGAACCCCAACAGTTGCCAGATTAGGGGCACCTTCTTCGCCTCGCACAAGTACACCAACTACGCCGCGCTGCAGGTTCGTACCGTAACGTCCTCTGTATATGTGTGTCGTAAATTTACAATTTCAAATTTTTTACATTTCACATTTTTCAATTTTTTTGAATTTTTGATATTGGAAATTTACAAGCACTCTCTATCAACTTGGAATTGATCAGCAAACAATTTTACCAAAAAAAAAATGACAACATATTTTGTAAATAAAAATTACAAAACTTGTCGTAAATTTACGAGGGTATTTTTGACAGTGCTGACCTAGCTAAACGTTTTCTCACCCCTTCCGCATAGGACCTGCACCGCCGCGGTCACGAGGTGGGAGTCTTCTCGCTCACGCACAAGGACGACCCCAACTACTGGACCGGCGGCTCGTACGACGACTGGCTGGCCGAGATGGCCGGCGCCCGCCTCGTCATCGAGCGCTTCTCCAACATCACGGACGGCTCCATCATCGGCGTGCGCGCCCCCTACCTCCGCGTCGGCGGCAACAAGCAGTTCGAGATGATGGCCGACCAGTTCTTCGTGTACGACGCGTCCATCACCGCCTCCCTGGGCCGCGTGCCCATCTGGCCCTACACGCTGTACTTCCGCATGCCGCACAAGTGCAACGGAAACGCCCAGAACTGCCCCTCGAGGTCAGTAGTGCCAGTGCCAGTGCCGCCAACGTCGGGGTGGAGATTAGTGAATTTGCATTTTCATTCGCGTTCTGCAATGCAGATTTAAAAGTGCGGAAATATATAACTACATTTAATTAAGCAGTCAAGGCTTGTCGAAAATGCATGCTCAATCTGTTGTTGATAGCCGCACACAAAAGTGTGCGGGACAACTCTTTTCCGTGAGAATTTTGTCAAGATTTTTTTCTGATTCAAGTTTTTCTGCGACGAAACATCCGCGCGGCTGTTGCTGCTGCTAGAGTGTGTGTGGCTTACCGCCCCGTGTCCGTGTGCAGGTCGCACCCCGTCTGGGAGATGGTGATGAACGAGCTGGACAGGCGAGACGACCCCACCTTCGACGAGTCGCTGCCCGGTTGCCACATGGTGGACTCGTGCTCCAACATCCAGACCGGCGACCAGTTCGCGCGCCTCCTGCGACACAACTTCAACCGCCACTACAGTACCAACCGCGCCCCTCTCGGCCTGCACTTCCACGCCTCCTGGCTCAAGAGCAAGAAGGAGTTCAAGGACGAGCTCATCAAGTTCATCGAGGAGATGCTCGACAAAAACGACGTGTACTTCGTCACCATGTTGCAGGTAAGCACCCCATCGTTGCAGACCCGCAGCGTTCGGAGTGGAGGCCGCAGCTAGACGTCCATTCAAATAGAGACACTTACCAGCCGTCACAACGACCACGCGAACGGCATCGACTAAAAATAAAGAGAGAATGCCGCAAGCCGTAAGCTCCAAACGCTCCGCTGCCGTTACAAAGAAACGAGAAAATGGGTTAACGATGAAAAAATAAGAAAGAGGGTGAAGGTGGCGCGCGCGCGCGCGCGCGTTTGCTTTCTTGGCGCCATCTGTCGAAAAAGAAAAAGGGAAAACAAGCAAAAAAAAAGGAAGTGACTTATATTGACGCGACCACGGGCGACCGGTTATCGCCGCCAATACCGCGTAACGGTTCATTACATAACACGGAGGGGGCTGTGGTGGGGGAAAACCAGGGCTGGACGCCATGCAAAGCGGCTCATCCATCCGCAGCACCTGAAGAGTGAGTGTGTGGGGGGGGGGGGGTCTAGTCCATTGCCATGGATCCGGGCCAATAGGATGCGGGGCGCGGCGGCCGCTCTGAAAAATAATGATCGGGGACTGTGCGTGGCGGGATAGGGATTGTCCGGAAAGCACGCGGCCGTCATTCGATTTGCCTTTGGTTGCGAAACTGCCTCGTTCAGCAGCCTCTGCAAGCTCTCGTGGCGCCTTGCAGGTAGGCAACATCTTGTGCACGCGTGCACCGCGGGCTGGCCTACCCCGAGTCTCGCAGGCGGCGAGCTCCGAAACCATGCCGTCTGCATCTGGGGAAAATAGCGGGCGTACGTTTCTGGACGATCCCACAAGGAAGTGCGCTCTCTCACATGTACTCAGGCTTGCCAGACGCCCCTCCCTACCTTACGCCGACCTCTACAAGATTAGAGGGCTCTTTAGTGAGGGCGAGCTCCCATGGACGCTGGCGTGCTTTGGTCGTGCTGTGGGTTCCATCCAGACTCTAAACCTCTCGTTTTTCATCCTCCTCAGGTGATCCAGTGGATGCAGAACCCCACCGAGCTGACCTCGCTGAGGGACTTCGCCGAGTGGAAGGAGAAGTGCGACGTGAAGGGCCAGCCCTACTGCTCGCTGCCGAACGCCTGCCCGCTCACCACCCGGGAGCTGCCCGGCGAGACCATCCGTCTCTTCACCTGCATGGAGTGCCCCAACAACTACCCCTGGATCCTCGACCCCACCGGCGACGGCTTCAACTCGAAGAAGTGAGCGGCGGGAGAGGAATGACAAGGTGAAGGAGAACAACAAGATTTTTTTTAAATGGAGAAGGAAAGCAAGAAGAAAATGAAAGAGGAGAAGACGATGCCTCGCTGCAGACGAGGAATGAGTGAGAAGAAGAAGAAAAAAAATATTTTTTTTAAAGTGAGGTATTAGGCGCTTGAAATGAAGAAAGTGTCGCCGACCAAGACCAGCGCGACCACCTCATGACCGGACTGGCACGTTCCACGACGCTGCTGTGTGGCGCCAACTTTCGAACGGCCGCGGTCTCCCTCCGCCGGTCGCTGCCGGCAGCGGCGGGGGAGCGCACACAGTGTACCGCGCAGTGTGCGCACCTCATTTAAGACGCCTTCGGTCGTCGTTGTTTTGTGATATCATAGTTTTCGGACCCTCGTCGGAAACGTCAGGGCGAGAAAGTCATCGTGTAGTTATTAGGGAGGTAGAAACAGAATTGTAATTATATTTTTGTAAATTTTCGAATTTTGTGCGAGCTAGTGCGCTCTTTACCAAACAGGGCATAGACAGTAATTTCTAATTTACACTTCTTTTTAAAAGACATGTTTGTTAATTGTTTTGAATGTTTGTTTCGTCTTGACGATTAGTCCCTGAAACCGCCACCGTCATCGGGAAAAAAAATGTCATCATCGCCACCAATCATTATGTTAGTATTTCCTCTGTCCTTGCGGCATGTTACCACGTTCCCTCCTTTTGAGGGTGAAATAAATGTTCCGGTAGAGTCCTAGTTTGCAAACGGGAAGGCCCCGATGACGACTAAGGGGACAGCGAGCAATGTGGGGAAAGGAGAACAGGTCAGTCGACTAAGGGTGGAAGAGAGGGGAACGGAGGAGAAGGAGGCTCGTAGGTGAGAGGGGCAAGCGCGCTCTCAGTGTGTAGTGGCCTTTGGAAAGTGAAAGGCCGAGAGGTGGGTGGCGTGGCGGCTGGATTGGCGGGTAGGAATGAAAATAACAATTACAATAACGGAGTTGAAAGAAGAAGACGCGGTGAGTGCGTGTCAAGTGACTCCCATGTTTGACTTCACCGACGTCCTGTTCGAGTTTATCCGGCGGATGTAGTCGCGTAGCCTTTCTGAGCCGTCACGATGTGCCCGGTTCCAACGAGATATATTGCGCGCTCAGTTCCGCACCACTCCGTACTTAACTTTCTCCCACTCCCACCCCTCACCATTGCTGTCCTCTAAGACGTCCTGTCCCATCCTTAGGGTGAAAAATGACTTCTCAATACCTGACCTTAATTATTGTTTTTTCTATATGTATTTTTTGAGTTTATTTTAAAACTCACCATTGTTGTGTTCGCAAGAGTACTGATTTTACGTTTCTATTTAAATAAAAAAATGTTGATCTACTGTGTGTAATATTGTAATGATAATGATAAAAGTAATAAAAAGTACAAGAAGCTCACTGAATATTTATGTTTTGAAGGGCACACCCGAGGGCACACCCCGACTCTCCGCAGGGCGGGTGGGAGGGAGCGGTGGAGGTGCGCACCTTTCCAGGGAATTCCGAACAGACTATAAAGGCGCCCTTTCGGACCAAATTAGTTTTCAAAGAATGTGAAAAAGAGGGAGTACCCACCCCGCTTTTACACGGGGCCCCGCGTGCTTAACTTCGGAGTTCGGATGGGATCCGGTGTGTCCACGCCAGCAGCCAGACTGTTAGATCCGACCAACTGTTGACCAGGGTTGTCGCCTACCCGCTTAAACAGGAACGACGGGTACCCAATTTGTTTTTCGGAGACTATCGTACGGTTGGTTAAACCGAACTGACCCCCTACCGCTGAGGTCATGAGACGCTGTTTTCGGAGCCAGTTTCACAGGTCTTCCGACGAGCGACCACCGACCGCTCGCCGCATGATCCGACCTCCTGGCAACCCGCTTTTTCGATGCCAGTAAGGACCGAACCAAGTGCCGACACTCGTCGCCCCGCGTAGAGGATATCATCACCACTACACCTTAGGCCTTCCCACGAAAGAACTCGGTTGGAATCACGGGTTTGAATTCCACTCCGAATTCTTCTCCTCGGAAAAATTTTCAGCCCTGCGAAGATTCGGACACCGTTCCTGCAACTCAGAAAGCCACCGCTCTATCGTCACAGCTACGACGCCACGATGCTGCGGATGCACCTCCACCGCTCCCCACTCGCCCTCCGCGCCTGCACGCTAGGGCGTAGGCAACCCATCGAACTGCCGCGTATTCTTACGGACACCCGGTATGTATCCACCTTAATAAAATAATCTACATTTAGAAAATTACTTCTCAAAACGTCTGACAGCTTTTCCCAAATGCGCTCAACGGAGTATGCGCTTCAATGTGCGAAGCAATGCCTGGAAATGCACATCATAAAAGGTGACACACTGGTGACGCATTTAAAAGCATGTTTGCGCTACCGGCCGGGGACCGGGGTTACTGCCCGCGAAGTTTTTCATAGCCGTTACTTGTTAATGTTGGTGTATAGGTGTGGGCGGTGTGGGGGCTGGAGAAGGATTGCAAATGAAACGTTAAGGGAAAAAAATGTCCATGGCAAGATGTCTTCGGCCACGTTTTCGAAATGTATGCTTCCTGTGACGAAGGTAAAATACCTCCGGTAAAATACCTAGGTTGTTAACAGAATCCTTTCGGTTGTTATGGGTGCCTCCCTGGGTGCCCCGCCTAACCTGCACATTTCCCTAGCTGTGACAATACTTAGAGAAGATTATGGAGAAACACAAGTGTGGTGTAATGAAATGTAAGGTCGCCAACGCCGAATTTATCACTTCCGGACTTGACTAGTAAATACACTGGGTATGTCTGTTGTTTTTTGTACTAGTACTAGCAGTGCCAAAGACCCTCCTGCAGCTTTAGTCCTGAGAGTTGCAAGCTACAGTGCGACGAGTGACTATTTTACATGGTGCATAGTGCAACTATTAGTCTAAAATGCATCTGCTGTTCTGCGGTTGTGCTGTTCTGCTGTTCTGCTGTCTCCCATAGTGGGCCCCTGTTTCGTTTGACTGTCACGCCAGGACACAGTGAGCCTAAGGGGAGTGGGGTTTCAATTTTGCTTAGTATTACGATATTTATTTTCATCAAGTCTTTTACTTAAATGTTTAGGTTTGAATCATTAATTTAAATCATTTTTAAATCATCACTAATTAGTGGCTGTGTTGCCTATTCAGTAGGCCTTTTTTGGAAGTGTTGAAGTGTCGTACACTAACAAACGTCTTACACATCCAACAGTCAATCAAAAATCTCACTGCATTTCTTTTGGGTACATCAAGTGTGGGGCAGTATTTGTTCATTTTAAAGCATACAGTGCGTCGCAGGTTTAAACGGAAAAATGATCAAAATCAAACAAAACTGCTACTGCATTTCTTTTGGGTACATCAAGCGGGGCAGTATTTGTTCTTTCAAAAGCAAAGTACAACTCAACGCAAATTCAAAAGACTGTGTATTAAAAGTGATTCACCTTGCAATGGACACCTGGACACTGCACTTGATGTATCCAAAGGGAATGCATTAACATTTTTGTTTGACATATTGACATGTTACCCACTTGAAAGTCCACGACATTTCCACACTTCAGAAAATGTGCTACTACTGAATAGAGAACCACTAACATAAATTCTAATAGCATGATGTCAACTATACAGATTGCAACTAGCAAAGACACACTTCTGCTAGGAGCAAGAGCCAGAGATACAGCATGCTGTATCTAATGTGCACATTAGATACCAATATGAAATATTCCTAGGCCACCGTGACCTTTACAATTACTTGTAAACAATATTTTATCAATACTTAAATGTTCAAAACTATTTTTTTAATAAAAACTGTCTAAAATAGCAAAAAATTCAGTAGGGATCCTCTAGACAGGGGACACTCCAGGACCTACCCCCATAGTCACACAGAGCTTAAAAATAAAAATAGGACAAAAGTATACTTTCATGCAAACATCACATTGTATTTTCTGACTTCTGGTTTTAATCTCTGATACAGTCTCCAAAATTTTTGTGTTTTGAGGTGGAATTCAAATTTGTTGTACGCTTTAAAATTATTTTTCTGCTATCTCATTTAAAGCCACTTAGTTCCCCAGTGTCTTTAATCTTTCTGCTGCACTAATGATTGTGAAAGAGAGATATATTGAGCAGGACTGAAAGAAACGAGGACTTACAATTTGCTCAGTTTTACTTTATTTATTTTTACGAAATCTTACAAATATTTAGCTTCAGATTTTTAGTTTATCTCTCTTATCTTGTGATTTGGCATTTTTTATCTGCACAAAGACAGGCGGAAATATTCTAGTTT